AGGGAGGTACAGGTTTCAAAGGTAATCAGTAACACAAAGCAAATCAGTGAAGCACAGTTCTAAGCTTTTAAGTGTAATGGCCACATCTTGGGTGCGATTCTACATAGTGGTTTTGGTGGACACCCAATTATTGGGGTTAGAGTTTCTCAAAGGTTCTGTGATCAATGTTTCTAGAATCTGATATCTTATGAAGACCACAATGTGGGTTTAACAGCTCAAGTATCTGTGAGAATATGTGAACAGAAGAGACAACATGAATATTATCCACAGAAAACAAGAAAAGTAAATAACCCAATAGTTTTATTATATCTTTATTAGGGCACATAGTATACATTCATCAATGCATCTGATAAACAATTGCCTGTGAGACATCATACAGAGGATGGCAAAGATGAATAAGAAGTGCTTTTAAGAGGCTGAAAGTTGAGTGAGTTGTATTATAATTATTTATTATATCTTCCTCCACTATGAGAACAGACACCTGGTTTTGCTCATTCTTATATTTTGAATATTTAGAAGAGTGCCTGGCACATGTGTGCTCAATAAATATTGATATGAAATTAGATAGTTCTTTGCATAGATATATATTTTATTAGACTATTACAGACTACATATTTCTTGAGGATAGGTGATGGCTTTATCTTTTATCCTACAGTACCTGGTTTTGAATATAGCAATGTCTGCCACTGAACTGTAACTTTCAATTCATTCTTGAGTGGATTTGCTAAATTATTAAAGCTTGTGGTGTCTTCACTCTTAATCATAGAGAACCAACACTGTGAATTATACCTATGAAGTCTCAGAAAACTCTTTCCTTTAATGAGGAGAAGAAAGCAATTTGAAGGATAGAAAGTTTAAAAAAATTTAAGTTGAGTCACATTTGACCTAGAAGAAAAATTAACAGGAAAAAAAGACAGTGGGGGAAAAAAAAAAAAAGACAGTGAGGGGAATGGGGAAAATCTGATAGATGTTAGGGACTAATCTTGAAAACAAAGCCAAAACATATTTTCCATAAAACAAAAAAAGAAAGAAAGAAAAGAAAAATCTGCCTTTGTTAAATAAGAAACATGGTGGTTACTCACAGCATTAACAGAGTTATTTTTCCGGGCATGGAAGGTTCCCCAATTCCTCCAGCTATTACTCAGGGACAGAATTGGAGATACTGATGAGGCAGACTTTTCCAGCCCAGTGGCTGGCAAGCTTCATTGCACATTAGAATCACCTGGGGAGACTTTTAAGCACTACTGATGCCTGGACCCACCCTCTGAGCTTCGATTTAGTTGATTTGAAGAGGGTCTTAACAACCACATTTCTGAAAAGTTCCCCAAGTTGAGCCTACTGGAAAACCAGGTCCAGAGGACTGCGTTAGAGGAAGAGTATTTTTTAGGAAAAACAGAATTTTGTTAGAGAAGGGACAAGATCTGTAACAGGAAGCCTTAGATTTTAGTCCAGATTGTGGGCAGATCATTTATTTATCTTCTTCTCTGTCTCTATATTCTCAAAGGCAAAATAAGATCTAGCAAAGCTGTTAGAAAGACAAAAATGGAAAATGGGTATGAAGCACTGCGTGGTCACTAAGATGCAAATATTTATTTAATACCACCACTAGGACCTTCAATCTTTTAGTTCTGGTTTGAAATTTTGTACAGAACCCCACACAGAAAGTGATTAACATGTGCCAAATGAAAACTTACATTTTCATGTTAACAAATCCAGAGTGGAATAAAGGAAGCAATTAGAAAGCAGATAGTCATTCCTCTATAATGGGAAATGGTCCCAGAGAGATGGACTGGTAACCTTAGGAGGAAAGGCCCTTCATTAACTCTCATTTTAGTTAATTGCTATGTTCACAAATTATTTAACCAATATGAGAGTATAATCAATCTCCATCTCCTTGCTAAAAGCAGGCTAGAAATTCTGGGCCAGAAATAATTTAGCACCCCAGATTTTTATCACCTGACAAAATTTGTCTTTTCACTTCAGGGCTTTTTTGCAAGGTCTTCAGGTCCTAAATTAACTCCTGCCAAAGCTAGAATACTTTATTTCTTCAAGGGCGATGTCTCCAACACCCAATTTATTGCTTTTAAATATAAATTCATATCAAAACATGAATTAACCTATCATGATAGATAATGTTGTTTAGTTGCCAAGTGGTGTCCAACTCTTTTGCAACCCCATGGACTGTAGCCCACAAGGATCCTCTGGTCCATGGGATTTTTCAGGCAAGAATACTAGAGTGGGTTGCCATTTCCTTCTCCAGGGGATCTTTCTGACCCAGGGTCAAAACCTGTGTCTCCTGCACTGGCAGGCTGATTCTTTACCACTGAGACACCTGGGGGAGATAGAAAATTATTTTAAGGTCAAATCAATGCCAGGACTAAAACTTTAAAAATAAGTTTGGTCGAGGATCTCCCTGGTGGTTCAGTGGCTAGGACTCCATGCTTCCAATGCAGGAATGGGGGTGGGGCATTGCAGGTTTGATCCCTGGTGGGGATGTATGCTGTGTGGTGCAGCTAAAACATTAAAAAAGGGTCTGGTCAACAGAAAGGTGTACTCCCTATAAAAGTCACCTAGATATTTGTGATCAACTTTCTGAAATCATAACTTCCAATAGATATGAGCTGTGTAGTTACAGGAGTTCTCTTTAGGAGAGAAGCATTGTCCTCTGTCACTTTCTGTTAGGGTATCTTCCTTCATAGAGAACACCTTCAGACCGGCTGGACTGCTCAGAGAAGCTGACACTTTCTCTCAGAATCCAGCCTGCTCTCAGTTGCAGTCCACAGCCTGTTCAGAGGTCCTTTCAGCTTTTCAACACCCAAGGTATGGAGGAAAAACTCTAACTGATAAGAACTGCTTTCCACCAACTTGGGGGTAAAGCTATTCAAGCAAGATTTCCTACACAAAGACTAAGAAAATGGAAACAAGCCCAGGCAATTCTATTTCTTACTGGGTCTTTAAAGTTTAGAGCCTGCATAAAGGACAAGGGTCTCAGCTTACAAGGTCAGTTAAGTGATCTAGCCAACGTCCACAGAAACTTCTGAGGCAGGACTTGAACTCAAGTCTTCTAGCTTCATGTCAACTGTATCATACTACCTTAGTAATCCCTCATGGAACATGTTTAATGTTAGGTCAATTTTCCAGGCATGGCTCAACAGTAATTTCTGTCATGTGGAAAGGGTGTTGGGCTGAGAATGATATCTGGTGTCTAGACCTTGCATTGCTGTGTGTGTTTGTGTATGTGTGTCTCTCTGTGTATGTACATGATCTTTAAGAGATCTGGCCTCTTTACTAGTTTTTGGTTCAGTTTGTTCATCCCACCACCTAGAAAATCCCAGACACTGACTCAGTTCTCCCATCTGCTTCTTCCTGTACCAGATACAGCTCTGAAGGCTCTCACAGAGCAATGTTGACTACTGTCACCACAAATCCATGGTCTCCAATCTCAATGCTGCTCAAAAAAGACCCATTCATCTCCTCCTGAAATCTCTAATAACCTTAGTCTCAGTCTTTTGCTTCTATGCTTGCTCCTTTCCAAACTATTCTTCATAAAGCATCCAGAGTTGTCTCTTTAAACATACATACAATCATGCTATTTCCCTGCTCACAACTCTTTAATAGCTTCTCGTTGCACTGTGAATAAAACCCCAACTCATTACATACCTACAAGGTCTTGCAGGTTCTTGTCCCCATCCTCCTCCCAGACCTTATCTCAGGCCATTCTCCTCTTTGTTAGTATTTGTCAACTGTAATAATCCCCGTTTAGCTCCTTACACATGCCAGATTCGTCTTTCCTGCTTGTTATGGACTGAATGTTTGTGTCGTCTCACCCTGAAACTTAACACACTGAAGCCTTAACCCCCACCGTGGCTGTATTAGGAGATGGGGCCTCTAAAAAAATAATTAAGGTTAAATGAGGTCACAATGCTGGGGCCCCAATCACATAGGATTAGTGTCCTTATAAGAAGACACATTAGAGAGCATGTTCTCCCTCTGTATAAACACTCAGGAAAGGTAATGTGAAGACAGAGCAAGAAGGTGGCTGTCTACAGGACAGGAAGAAAGCTTTCATCAGAAACCCAATTAGCTGACACACTGATAATGGACTTCTAACCTCCAGAATAGTGAGAAAACAAATTTCTGTTTTTTAAGCCACACTGTCTATTGTATTTTGCTATAGGAGCCCAAGCAGAGTTAATATACTACTGCCTCAGAGTTTTAAACATATGCTATTTCCTTCTTTCTGGAACCTCCCTCTTCCTTCTTCCTTCCTTTTTTTCCAACTTCCTCACTTTCTGTTTAATATGCCTTCCAACTGGACCACTGTAATAAAACAACTCTCCCAAAGGTCACCATTTCACCAAAACCAAAGGGTATTAATCATTTTATTTTACTGGACCCTCTCTTTCAAATGGGACATTGTAGATCTCTTAGTTTTTGAACCCTCTTCTTCCCTGGCTTTGATTTCAGTACTTTCTCTAGGTACTCCTCTAACCATTTCCTCAAGATTTCATTCTGGAACTGCTTAAATGTTAGTGTTCCACTTGATCTTGCCCTTGGCTCATGGTTCTTTTCTGTATGACATTCTCCTTGGATAACTTCATCAATCTTCATGATTTTAATTCTAATAGTGTGTTGATGATTCCCAAACCTAGCTCAGTCCTCTAAAATAGATTTGAATATCCAACTTCTGGCTAACCATCTCTACTTGGGTAGTCCACAGGCACCTTAAACTCAAGATATCTACAAGTGAACTCTATACGTCCCCTGGTGAACCAGTCTCTCTCTTTCAATTCACTATTTCAGTTCATGGTCACATTGTGATAGGAACAAAAAAACCTAGGGTCATTCGGGGCTATCCCTTCTTCTTCACAAATTGCTTTTTTTTTTTTTAAGTACCAGAAATAAATTAGTCATAATTAGTCACTAGTTCACTCTCATTATGTTAGTACCTTTGCAGTAACAATATGCTCTCATGGTTTCCTCTAGGCAAAGATACCTACCTTTCCCTCTTTGAAGTGCTTCTTGAGCTGCTTCTGCATGGCAGTCAGCTTCTTGGACTGCACTCCACTGTAAGCCAGCAGCATGCCACCAAACTGCCTCTCAGTGATTCTCCCATCCACAGGGTCATGGCGTTCAAACTGGAAAGTGAACAGAAAGAGTGTTCACGGGGTCAAATGGAAAGTATTTTGACATGGGATGTGGAAAGATCAACTGTTGGATTCTGAGAATGAACTATAATTCTCACCAAGATTAAAAAAAATTGAAACACAATATTTGGGTTTATATGCCAGATCTGCTGCTAAGTTACCCAACTACTCTAGGAGTGAATTTTCTCACCAATAAAACAGCTGCTGTAACATCTCCTATATCTTCTAGATCAGGAACTTCCTTGTGAGAATAAAGACAATGCTAAAACTCCATTTAAATTAATCAGTAATATTATTAGTAATAAGTGCTCTCTGGATCATCCACATCTCTGTTACTCAGAGAAAACTTAAAAGTTAATTATTATAAATTTGACCAATTGTACATACCAGTTCCTTGATCTGTACTTAATATTGTTATACAGACCTCTAAAGATTTCAAAGAAGAGCAGTGTGTTTTCCAGTTTTCCCCCAAATGGTAATCAAATGTTAGAACATCAATAGAGCTTGAAAAAAAATATATAGAGCGTACGATGCCTCAATTAGACATGCATACTTATCACAAAGCTACAAAAAAATCATTAAGCATATTTAAATATGCAGACGGAAAGGCTAAGCACAAAAAACTTTGAGCTAATTTAAGTAATATCAGAAAACTAAGACTGTCATTTAAAAACAGAGAGAAGTTATCTCAATACCAGCTGCAGTGTTAATGATATATGTAAATGCCTAAATAATAAAATGGCTAAAGATGGGCCTAGAAACCAATTAGAAAGCAAAATGATTTCAACATGGTAAAATTTCCCCATGGTTTTATGGAAAATAACAGTTACAAAGAAACTTTCCGATTCCTACATGGTAGGGCAAAATCTTATTCTCCTAAGAGGGTTATATATAGACATAACACATTGCTAAGTAAGATCAAGTCAACAAACATTTCCTGAATGTCTACTAGTTATCTAGCACTGTTAGTCACTGTAGGGTACAGGAAAGAAGATTCAGTTTCTGTCCTTAGGAACTTTACCATCTAGTAACAAGATAAGGTTTACATGTAAGATATAAAATAAGGAAGTATATAGTTAAGGGTGAAAGTCTCTCTCAGTTTTTATTTCCTTGCTTAGTTTGGTAAATTGATATACACTTTGTCTCCTCATTGGTCAGACTATGTCAGTGATCAAGACACACGAATTACATTTTAACAACAGCAATCATTGGCTGATAGTGTACTATGAACCAGGTACTTCACGCATACAATTTTTCATTTAATTGCTGTAACAATCCTATGGAGTAGATATTATCAGCTTCATTTTACAGTTGAGAAAACTGAGGTAGGTGAAGTTAGAGCTGGGGGTCATATGTGGCTCTGTCTGGATCCAAAGACTGTTACCTCAATAACATACTATTTCCTCCTTCTAAACACCAGTACATATTCATCCTATAGGATAGCAATATGTTGTTTTGGATAAACTTATAAAGCAAGGGTGCTTAGTCATATTTGAGTGAGAAGCAAAACTCTTTCCATAGAAGTCAGCATCAATATTAAGCAAAAGCTTCGTTTTTAACTCAACCACTCAGTATTTCATGTTTGCCACACCATCACTTCTACAGAGCTGATTAATTCTGGACAATACCAAAAGTTTTCAGGATTTAATTTAAGTTTGATTTATGATTCAATTAACCACCCTGAAACAAAAATGGAGGACGGATAAAATTTTTTGCAAATGAACATACTTTCTGCAATGTTTAAATCAGATTTTCAGTGACATGTGATACCCAGGCCAAAGCTGGGCTTCTTCAATGCGAGTGAAACAAAGCTGCCATCCCTGCTCTCCTAGGTTTCAACTATTTAGGGCATTCATTCTACCTTTATCTGGGAGATTTCACAGTTGTTAAGAAATCCCATAAATTTGAATTAGATGAGTTAAGTTTTATACCACAAGATAGATTCAAGGTTGCAATGTCTCTTTTTACAGTGTTGGCAGCAGCAGCAGTGTGCTCAGGCTTATGAAAGCCTGCATTCATCTGCTCTCCACAAGGGCATAAACCTCACCTCTGCCACGTCTCAAAGCAGTAAAGACAATTTCCAGTGGAGATCCCCAAGTAACAATTCCAGTGCTCAAATTAGCATTTTTACTAACTTTCTTTGGAAACACAGACTTGTCTTTTTCTATCATTATTATTATTAATATTTTGATGTGGTTGGAATGTGAAAGGGCATGAAAGTTAAAGTGTCCGACTCTTTGCAACACTGTGGACTGTAGCCTGCCAAGCTCCTCTATCCATGGAATTCTACAGGTCAGAAAACTGGAGTGGGTAGCTGTTCCCTTCTCCAGTTGATCTTCCCACAGGGACTGAACCCAGGTGTCCCACACTGCAGGCAAATTCTGTACTGTCTGAGCCACCAGGGAACCTAAAAACTATAAAACTCAGCTCCAGGCTGTGCAGCCCACTTCAAAGTTCACTGCCTCTTCTGTAACTAGATTTGGAGCAGCACTGAAGACCTACTAGGCCAGGGGTCTTCAAGGGTAGCTTCTCAAGGGCCTGCATTAGGGATGCATTTTCAAGGGCAATAGCTTGACATCATGTGTCACCACATGAATATAATCCCCAAGGTCATGAGAGGGTCTTTGGGGAAACAAAGATTATTGCAGAATTATCACAGTGTAGAAAGCTTCTATTTATACATCTGGAGGCAACTGAAATGATTGGCTTGTATTTTATTTATCAGATATTGATAAAGCCTCTTAAGTTTCCACTTCAGTAGGACAATTAAGAAATTCCATTCTATTTGATCCTGTGGCACAGAATATATGTGTTCCAGGGTACCACCCACAAATTTCACTGCTCCTTCAGACTGTATTAACAAAGCTACAGTAATAGAAACAGCATGATACTGGAATGAAAACAGACATAAACATCAGTGGAACAAAAGAGCCCAGAAATAAACCCACACACCCTGGGGTTACCTAATATGACACGGGGATAAGAAAACACAATGGAGAAAAGACTATTCCTTCAATAAGCAGTGCTGGGAAAACTGGAAAGACATAGAAAACAATGAGATTAGAACATTCCCTCATATCATATACAAAATATCCCACATATAAAAAAACAAACTCAAGATGGTTTAAAGATCTAAATATAAAACCTGAAACCAGAGGGAGGAGCCAAGATGGCGGAGGAATAGGACGGAGAGACCACTTTCTCTCTTACAAATTCATCAAAAGAACATTTGAATGCTGAGCAAATTTCACAAAAGAACTTCTGATCGCTAGCAGAGGACATCAGGCGCCCAGAAAAGCAGCCCATTGTCTTCGAAGGGAGGTAGGACAAAATATAAACGACAATAAGGGAGTCGAAAGAGCTACGGACGGAGACCCGTCCCGGGAAGGGAGTCTTAATAGAGGAAGTTTCCAATCACCAGGAAACCCTCTCACTGGCGGGACTGGGGGAAGTTTTCGGCACTGTAACTGGGAGGAAAAATTAAACAAGGCCCACAGATTACGTGCCTAAAAGCAACTCCCAGCAGAAAAGTACCCCAGACGCCCGTACCCGCCAGCAACAAGCGGGGCGGAACGGAGAGGAGCGGGCGGCATTGCTTGGGGTGAGGTCCAGCCCGAAGACCCTGAGAGCAATCGGAGGGAGCTTTTTTAAACTGTGGGATAGCAAGGGACAAAATTAACCGGCCCGAACANACAAAAAACCTGAAACCATAAAACTCCCAGAAAAAGTCTGACATAAATTGTAGCAGTATTTTCTTGGATCAGTCTTCTAAGACAAGAAATAACATAAAAAGATAAACATAAAAAGAAATAACATTAAAAATGAAATAAAAAAGAAATAACATAAACAAATAAACACATGGGACCTAACTAAACTTAAAAGTTTTTGCTCAGCAAAGGAACCAATGACAAAACAAAAAGACAACCTATGGGATGGAAGAAACTATTTGTAAGTGATGAGAAGGGGTTAATATCCAAAATAAACAAAGAGCCTATACAAGTCAGTATCAAAAAAACCCAATCAGAAAATGGGCAGAAGACCTGAATAGACATTTTTCCAAAGAAGAAATACAGATGGCTAACTGGCACATGAAAAGATGCTCTACATCCTTAATTATTAAACAAATGTGTAAATCAAAACCACAATGAGGTATCACATCACACCTGTCAGACTGTCTATCATCAAAAAGTTTACAAATAAATGGTGGAGAAGGTAAGGAGAAAAGGGAACTCTCTTCCTATACTGCTGGTGCAAATATAAATTGGTGCAGGTCACTACAGAAAACAGTATGGAAGTTCATTAAAAAACTAAAAATAGAAGCCTTAAATGACCCATCAATTCAACTCCTAGGTATATCTATCTGGAAAAAATGAAAACACTAATTCAAAAGACACATGCACCCCAGTGTGCATACCAGCACTATTTACAATAACCAAGACATGGAAGGAACTCAAGTGCCATCAATAGATGACTGAATTAAGAAGATGCACTATATATATATATGTAATGGAATACTACTCAGCCATAAAAAGAATGAAATACATTCATTTATAGTAATATGGGTGAATCTAGAAAACATTATGTTTAGTGAAATAAGTCAGAGAAAGACAAATACTATTATCACTTACATGTGGAATCTAAAAATATTACAAGTGAATGTATATATAAAACAGACACAGAATCAAAGATACAGAAAATAAACTTATGATTATCAAAAGGAGATGAAAGGAGGGACAGACAAATTAGGGGTATGGGCCTAATAGATACAAACTACTATATACAAAATGGTAAGCAATAAGGATGTATTGTAGAGCTGAGGAAATTATAGCCATTATCTTGTAGTAATCTATAATGGAGAATAATTGCAAAAATACTGAATCACTATACTGTACACCTGTAATGAACACAATACTGTAAACTGACTATACTTCAATAAAACAAACAAAAAAAGAAATTCTAATCTGTTGGATCCTGTGGCACAGAACGTGTAC